CACAATTCTATTCCGACAATATCCTCCAAAGATCAAAAGGAATAAGAAAACCAAATTCAAATTTCTAATTCTTCTATCTCCCCCTAATTCCAAAGATATAAATCCAAATTATCCATATCTCCATACCATCCTCCATTTCATCCATCCGAATTATCATAAATAATAATCTCACAAAATAACCCCCAAACCCAATCCCTAAATACAACACCATGGAATACTACGCGTTTTCAGACAATCCAGAATTCGTAAATATCCCGTATCCCGAAATACAATATCAAAAAAGAAATCTTCATGTCCGACAGATTCCCAAATTTCCAAGAATTTGCAAGATATGATTTTCTTTCCTTCATTCCTTTCAATCTTCATCTTTAAAATAAAGACGAAATAACGACAATATATCAATATTCCCAATCGTAATTTCTAAAAAAAATAATATGAGATCCATATAGATATAAAATTCATAATAAACTATCATCATCACTCTTATTCATAAAATAGATTAGCAATCCTAAGGAATCACGTAATGAAGATTCTAGAAAAATCGAAGAATATTCTGCCGCATTTCTTACGTCAACGAGGACTAGGGAATAGGAGGGCGATCGATCTAGAAATATGATACCATGAGGATCATCCATCAAGATCCATTCCATCCCTCCTTGTTGGGGGCGGATTCGGGGTGGGTTGATTCAAATGATTTTGTTTATTCTGTTTTGCCAACTTGAAGACATCATATGGTGGAAGATGCGAGTTGACGTCTGGTGCAATTGTCTTTTCTCTGAAGCTCGGTTTTCAAGATCCGCAGAGATGTAGTTTAAGATACGTACCTATAGACCTATGTGCGTACATAGACCTATAGTACATCATAGTCTTCGAATGAACACACCCACTGTCTAGTGCCTTGCCTTGCTTGACAGTTTACGACGCTCAGCCCACGCTCATTCCTTCGGCGGTGCAGCCACCTTGTTGAGCGCAACCCCGAACCTGAGAAGGAGGTCGGACACAGAACGATGTGCACTGGAGAGTGGCGCAAGTCTCCACCACAACCGATTGGAATGGCATCACATGCAGTCGATCCATGCATGAAAATAAGCATTGCAGTTTGGCTTGCAGGTTCCAATCCCAATCGCGACCGGCGCATCCTAGCGTCTGCTGTGGCAAAGAGCTGGTCCGCTAAGTGTCGGACTTCAGGAGATTTGTTGTCTCTGGCGGGTCAGAGATCCTGGCGTGGCAAATGAGGTCTTAACTCTCACTTTGCACTGCAGAAACCAGCAGAAACCGCCAGAAACCACCGAACTAACTGCACAGCTTCTTCGTAGGCATTTGCCTTAAATTTGCCTGCTTCGTGGGCGCCCCGTCCCCCCCTCTTCTGTGGGCGGCAAATTTCAAGAAATGATTTGTCCTGAAACAAACCCTGGTCGACAACTCCGTTCTTTGAGAAAATGAAACCATGATATTTTCCCATGTTGTGGGGTCGACAACTCCGTTCTTTTGATAAATCAAACGATGATATCTTCCTATGTTGTGGGATCCAAAGGCTGGGTGGCTAGATTTCCGGCACCAGAGTCACGAGCTTGACCAGTGAATGCTCGGAGTTGAGATGCTGCACCCTATAAACCCTAAACCCCAAACCCTAAACCCTAATTACAAAGCCAACGTGCTCCCAGCAGCTTGGCGAATAAAACATTTTTAGACTGGACACGCGATACATATACCCTTCTGTCTGCAGAAAAAGCTACACCTTACGTCGTGAACAAATTGCTTGCGGACTCGAGACTGCTTTCAGCCTGCTGTAGAACTGAATATAAGTTTGCCAGAATCACCACGTACCAGGGTTGATGCGTCGCTCTGGAGCCACTTCGTCCACCGCCACCAAGCCATTCAGCGTCTGCGCGGCCAATGGCGCAGCATGATTGGAGCACATGAAGTAGGGTATATATTTCTTGTACCCCCAAAATTCAAAAGCACACCAGGTATATACACTCACCAATATCAAAAAGGAACCTTATATACACACACCAATAACAGAAATATAACCCCCGTTTCACATCAGCTTCATCAGTCTTGTCGGAAGACGCGCCTTGCCCAGCTCCGCATCTTTGCTGTCCACTTCAAGCAGAGCCTGAACCCCCAGAATGCTTTGGCTACTTCATCACAATGTCTTGCGAAGAGAATGCTCAAAAACGCGCCTTCTGTGTAGCAGAGGACAAGCTGGTCATCGTCACATCCGGGCTGGGTCGCCCGGCCTGTGCACCCCCCATGTGAGATCCGCAGATGCCCGATAATGGAGGCGCATGCCCTTCTCATCTACACAGATGTTTCTTGATCCTACGACCCAAATTTTGCAGCTGTGCCTTCGTTCCTTCCAAGCCTAGCACCCCGAGGGTGGGAGGATTCGCTTGGGCGTACTTAATCGGCAAAGGCATGCTGTCATACGATATCAACTGGAACCGGAGATGACTGAAGCTTCCAAACCCGTAGAGCACACAGTCTTTCAGGCGTAGGACTACGTTTCCACACTTCAAGAGCGTTACACAGTGTTAAAACGCCGAGGGTGTTCCCAAGGAAGTTGGGCACCAGACCCGACCACAGCGGAGCATGTCTCCTCCTTGCAGGTGCTGAAAAACTACTCGCCGACGTTAGTTTTTGTCAGCTATGTAGACACCAGGGACACGTGTGGACTTGACACTTGACGCTTGACCTTTGCAACCTATGCGCTTCTTGGGAATTCGCATGCTCTGAGTGTTCGCTGGCTCGGTGCAATAGAGATCAACAGAGCAGTGTGGTTCTTGCCGTTTCTGAAGCTCTTCTTTGCTCCCAGCATCCCCTCTCCTCGTTGACGCCCCAGCGAGGAGGCTCAGGCTTTGACCCGCGAAGCTGCAGCGTGCATGCTTTGAAATACTTCGTGTAACATCTTTACATACTTGTCATGGTCATCTAGTATAGAATCCTCTCCTCCAGCGCTTGGCTCTGCTATACCCTTGAAAACGCGTTTACACTCAAAGCTGCCTTGAAGCCATTCGCAGTGTGAGTTGATGTAACCCACTCTGCAGGTCACAACAATAGGCTTTTGGGTAGAAGCATCCGTGCATGTCTGTGGCTTAGATTGGACGGTCCCCGGGACCAAGACGCCAGGCAAAGACAAGCGCTTCGACCGAAAAATGCATTCTCCTTCTAGCGCCAGCACGCAAGGCCGCCGGCCTTTGTCCGCAACTAGTGACATCGAAGATGCCAGCAACGGCCACAAATCTTTCCAGATCTCTTGCATTAGCCCCGCAATTTGTTCGTGAGCTAAGCGATTGTCGGACCACGTCAACCAGGTGATTGGACAGGAGGGCAACAGCAAAGTAATGTAAGCCTTGCACGAGGTGTCTTGTAGCTACAATTGCTGCACTTCGTCGGTGACATAACTAGAGTTTAAACCGCGACTGATCAAGCATTAGACTAAATCAGATGCATCTGCTGGTCTGCACGGCAGCTGCACTTTTATGGCCGCGAGTATGCCGGTCGGTCAGCAGGGAATATTCCCCGACGGCCAAGGCAGAACACCTATCTGGACACAGGCATTCTCTGCATCTTCCGCGACCAAATTCGCGGACTTCCGCAACATGCGGAAGCGAACAATAAAAAATCACAGTGTGTTTGCGCGTCTGCCCATCACCTTCGGAGCCAAAGCACAAAGAGTTCTGTCCCTTGGCCCAGCTGTATATGGCAGTTATTCAAAACACCTCCCTAAAACAACCACAAGGTGGTGCTACAGTTAGGCTCCTTCTTTGTAAGGACTCCCCTGAGGGATTCTTATCCCATGGCTCATCCCGAGCTTGAGAACAACCCCCATACATGCTGGACCTGGGCAAGGCTGGTCCCAAAGACAATGGAAATCATGCGCTTCAGGCTACGACTTATACAGCCTGGCATGTGGGGCTTGCACAGGAAGTACAGTACGTAGCGCAGCGCAGTGACAGGTAACAGAGCATGACGTCAAAAAATTGGATTCGAGTCGCTTCAAATGCTCCATCCCACGGACCTCTGTGGTCTGATCCGGACGTGGTAGACTTGGTAGTTGGCACATGTTGGCACCTTGGGATGTTCCCCCTTATACTAGCAGCCCTTAATGGGATAATGATAGCGGGTACTATAATCCTTATTTCAGGACTGTTATTTTGGGGGGGAACATCCCAAGTTGGCACACGTGTGGTCGTGTGGTAAGCGGCTGGCAGAGGCCAAAGCTCGCTTAGGCTTTAGAAGCCTCTGTTCGGTTTCAAACTGACATGTCAACGCGAATCAAGTGTATATAACGCACCTAGGCCTCAGGACCTAAGGACCTAAGGACCTAAGGCACACGCTCCGGCTACTGTGAGGGCCTGCCTTTGTTTGGCTTGAAACTGCCAATCCTACATCTGCATTGGCGCATCTTGCCGAGACTTGATATGACTGTGCCGGCAATGCCCTTCACTGCAGGAAAAGCCGAGTGTGATAGATAGTGACCGTATGTGACCGTATCCCGAAAAAGGAACAGCGTGCTAGCCTGAACAATTGCTCTCCGCACAATCAGGCACGAGCTGCTGCAAAAAAATTGGCACACATGCGCCAGCTTTGATCTTTGCTGCCTTTTTGCTGCAAACTGGTATACAATCCTAGGCATCCGCTGCAGATGCGTCACAGAGACCCATGGCAGGAAATCTGACCCTCTTTTGACCTTACTCATCAGGACTTTCTCAGGTTCTGCGAGAGCTCCAGACAGCAAAGAATCAGGCTACAGCTCCCTCCAGTGGAGTTCCTTGCAGCTCCTTCCCAGGGAGTTCTTGAAAGCTCGTTTTGCCTTTGACGGATGCTGCAGCGCCTTGATTGATCATGGCCTCTTGTGCCTGAGACGTTTCATGTGGGGTCGTTGCGGGATCCAGGAAGTATCTAAAACGACCCACTTACAGTCACTTACAGTCTTGCCTCTCAGCAATTCCAGCGCTGAAGATTCCGACTCCCCAAGGCAACTAAAGCTCGGCTCAGATGCTGAAATGGTCCTGTTCATCCGTCGGCAGTCCTTGCGAATCGTCGACATGCATGCCGTTTGCTGTGTGTCTTTAAACAAGGGTCAGGAATGCGGACAACTGAAGCACCAAACAACGCCCAAGTGCCATGAGAGATCGGTCGCTCAGAACTTTTTCGGCAGCATGCACGCTTGCAGAGCAATGGTGCCCTCAAGATGTTGAAAGCATGACCCTTGCGGAAGGTATGGCTCGGTGCATTCCCAGACAGCAACGGTCTGGAACCCTTGCGGCCCTACACGTACGATCTACGGTGCTCGCCCTTTTCACAAGCACCGATGGCCGCTGTAAAACTTACGTCATCAGGTGCTAATCTCCATCGAGACATATCGGAGAGCAGTTGAAGCCCAATCCTCCACCGACCGGCCTTTTCACAGCAGGAAATGACAGAGTTAAAGACGACAGTATTGGCAAGAATACTTGCTGCAAGAAATTCTGAAAATAGAGCTATTGCCAGCTGCCACTGCTCGCCTTTGCCACATGCAGTGATGGCGGCACTGCATGCTTGTGGATTCAGCATGAAACGCTTTTCAGACATGTCGTACAAGAGCCTGAGTGCTATGTGCCACTCCCTACCTTTCTCGCACGCGCTGATGGCGGCACTGTACGTGACAGCATTGGCTGACACGCCAGACACCGTGCTTGCCAGCAGCTTCAATGCAACTTCCCACTGCCAGCATTTTTCGGCTGCGCTGATAGCCGCATTAAAACTTATGACATCCGGCACTATTGCCTCAAGAACCATGCAAGACAGGAGCCATATTGCCAGCTCCCACTGCAAACCTTTCTCGCAGGCACTGATCGCTGCATTATAGGACATTACATTCCGTACAACACGAGTGGCAGGCATTGTGGACAACAGAGATAATGCAAATTGCCATTGGCCACACCCAGCACATGCACTTACGGCAGAAGTAAGAACAGCAACATCTGCAACGACAAGGTAATCGTCGATGTCACAAAGCAAATCGAGCGCCATGCCCCACTGACCGGCGGCGGCGAAACAACTATTTGCGGCAAGTATTGTCACCGAATCCGGCTGGAGCACTGCTGAGAGCATGCATGAAATTAATTCAAGAGCAATTTGCCAGCACGAGTCCATCTCGCAACAGCTGATTGCAGCATTATAGGAAATGGCATCTGGAGTAAGTTTGATTTTTGGCATCCCAGATAGCAGACTAAGTGCCAATTCCCAGCATCCGTCTCCGACACATGCACTGATGCCTGCGTTGAAGCTGATCGTGCTCGGTTGCGCGCGTGCTTGCCACATGCTTGACAAGAGCTGAATCGCCATCTGCCAGTTGCTGCCTCGGCCACAAGCACTCATCGCAGCATTGTAACTAATTGTGTCAGGTGTCAACGAGACGGCCAAGATGTCGGACATCAGTTGAACAGCCGTGTGCCATCTCCCCACCTTCTCGCAGGCACTGACTGCTGAGTTGAAAGAGACTATGCTCAATCCGACATCGGTGAAGGCTCGAGAGAGTAGTCGAAGGGCCATGGGCCATTGTGAGCCTTTCTCGCAGCTGCTGATGCCAGCTCCCAACGTAACGACACTCGGTACTACTCTAGCTAAACTCATTAGAGCCAGGGTTTGGAACGCTACTTGCCACTGGCCTCCTGCACTGAGCACTGCATTGTAAGCGATCACGTCTGGTAAGACACTCATAGCATACATCTTAGCTCGTGTTTGAAGAGCTGTCTGCCATCGCCCGCATCTTGCACAGGCACTGATGAAGGTGCTGAAGCTGACAACATCAGGCAGGCTTCCAGGCATGGCAGACAGAAGTTCCAGTGCTGTCTGCCATATGTGGCTCTTCTCAGATGCAGCGAGAGCTGTGCTGAAGTCGAACGTGTTGGGCGCATGCCTTGCAGCCGACATTGCCACCACAACAGAGCACGCCTTCTGCCATTGCTTCCTGCTGACAGCCTTGCTGAGGCATTCATGGAACCACTTCCGTTCTCCAGCTCTGACCGAAATCTGACGATGTCGGCAGGTGTTGTCGCCGCTGCTGACCATCGCTGGCATGCAAAGGCTTCTATCTAGCAGAATCTAACATGATGAAGTTGGGGCTCTGTTGCCGTTCTCTTGCGTTAACGAGATGGTCTTTCTTGATGAGTGCTCTCGTCATGTGAAGATCTGGCCATCGTGTGCCGCACACTGAGGGGCCAGGGGGCCTTCGAGTCCTGAACGGCATATGCTTTTGCTGTGGCTTGTTATACGAGGCTCTATGACTATATGCTTCATACGCTATCCGAATTTTAAGTGCGCATGTACACAACTTTGCTTGACAAAAATGACTATGAAGATAGGCTGCGTGAGCTGCGTAGTGTTGCGCAGTAAAGCCAAACACAGTTTGGGTCAAGTCCAAGGTACTTTACCTGCCTTATCCAGTTTCTGGACTCTGCCTTTTTCAATCGCTAACGTTCCTTGTGATTCCTTTTCCTTTCTAGTGGCCACGCACAAATTTGCTGGTGCAAGATTTGCTTTGTCCTGTCACATCTGAGATCCATGCCTGATGATGGTTTTAATGTTGGACTCGCTTTGGTGCGCAGGGCCCCCCCCCCCCCCCAAACAATTTTGGGGTTTTCGGGGATCCTGAATAATGTGGGCTGGGGCTGGGACGGGGCTGGGGGTAGGGCGGCTAGGGGTCGAGGGTTGAGGGGAAGCCTTGAAGCTTGAGGGTCTAAGCTTTCCAGGCTTTGTAGCTCCACGGTCGCCGGGGCTCCGCATAAATGCGGACCACCGAAACAACTTGCTAAAGCGAATCAGGGCAGCTCGTGGGCTGCTCCCTTGGAAAACTGTTTGGGGGCCTGTTTCGTAATAAAATCTTAAAAGGAATTTAAATAAGGCTGGACACCAGAAAATTCCGGAGTTTCTTATTCAAAACTTTTTTTCGTTTTTGGCTCCCCGGCCCCGGGCCCTTCAACCCCGGCCGGGCAAACATCGCATATTTGAGGACCACCCTAAACAATGGGGGGTCCCCTATCGGATTTCCGGAACATCGCATAATAGTGCCCCTTCTCACTAAATCGAGTGCAACATTATACGGCATTGACGGAACACTGCATGCTGCATTTACTAGTGCGTTTGCGAGCTGACATCTTCACCTTCCACCTCTAAAGACTTAACCACTTTCCAGAGCCAGCATGGCAGCAACTTGAGCAGCTAATGCCACAAGGATCGCCACGTTCTTTATGGGCATTATGTCTCGATTCGTTACATGCTATGCCTGGTACGAGTAGGATGAACAAGCGAGATGGCACCAGCAACATGCGCAACAGCTGAACTATGTCTAAAATTCCAAAGAAATGACCCGCTTTCGGCACGGCTCCTTCAAGATTGCTTGCGTCCTTGCCGAAGTAAAAGCCTTCCTTCAACGCGAAGCCGTGGCCTGTTTGAGTCATGGCTATACAGAGCACGTTATACTTCAAGTTTCAACACATGTACCCCACTGCCTTTCGAGGGAGAGAGAGAGAGAGAGAGAGAGAGAGAGCGAGAGAGCGAGAGAGAGAGAGAGCGAGCGGGAATGCAGGGATGGAGTGAGAGGAGAAAGAGAGAGAGGAGAAAGCAAGAGAAACAAGGGAAAATAGCAAAGGAGAGACAGGGACGGAGAGGAGAGACAGTGAAAAAGAGCGAAAGGGGGTGGGGGCAAGCAAAAACACGCAAAGATCGAGAGCGGGACGAGGGATGGAGAGAGGGAAGAAGAGAAAGTTGAAAGGCATGGTTCCGAAGATGTCCACGAGCCATGGTCGTTAAGCATTGAACCGTACTCATCGGGCGCTTACAGCATCTCATTGGGACGATGTGTTGTTAATTGAGAATCTCAAGGGTCCGATTAGGGCCAACTTTGCAACATTGACAGCCGAGGCTTCCACCCTTGCGTGGCCCAACATTCGAGGACAACCAGCTTGCGCTCGCTTGTGTCGATGCACCTGCACACCAACATGCCCCTGTGAATCTCATGTGCTGCCTTTAGGACCAAACAACCAAAAACCCTTGTGATTCACTCCTTGACAACTGGATTTGATGGTTGACACAGAAACTCTCTTAATAATAGTGCATTAGTGAGCGAAATAAGCGGACACCAGAAATGAACCTGTTTCACTCACTTTACTATATGGAGATAGAAGGAATAACCGAAGTAAAAAACTAAAGAACCTCTCTTTTCGTTCACTTAAGGGGCAAATTACTATATTCATGCGTGTCTTTTTTTAAATTGGCCCTTTAATGTTCTCTTCACAGAAACAGTATTACTTGACAAGGAGTGAGCGACGCGTGCAAAATATTCAATACAGGTGAAGAGAATGAACGTCCCTCTTTGACCACAGAAATATAGGGCCGTGACGTACCATTCATCTCTCTCACTCTTGTTCCAAAGCCTTGTTCACCCTTGACAGCACATCTAATACTAAATGACCCTGTGAACCCACCGTTGGGACCCATGGGACCCCCACCGCCTGTCTAACCTTCCAGAATCTCCCTGTCACACCTGTTAATAGGATGTTGTCAGTCAAGTTCATGCGTCCGTACCATTTTGACTTAGAAACCGTACCATCATTAGAAGCTCTCTTGACAAGGAACTATCCTCGGGACCCCAACATCAGGTTCTCCAGCTATAACCGTGCAACACCGTGGAATCATGAGCCAGGAAACTAGACGGGCGGGAGAACGCACTATACGCCCCAATATCAATACGATTACAAACTAGTGCGTGAAGAGTAATACTAACACTTGATGATGACGATTCTGAGAAGCGAAAATGGCGAAGCAGACTTAGGCGCTAGTGCTTCGGGGGGCGTGCACAAGGAACTCGGAGCCAGTGGCTAGCCACAGCTACAGCATGGTCAGCAACCCCAATCTGTTCCAAAAACACAAACTTAGCCTTCCCTACTTTCGGCCAAACGGAATGAATATTGGTACACATGGAGAGACACCTGGAGACATCATGCCGGACTCGGTGTCCTTCTCCCTTTGCTCCAAGTCGGCCACCCGAACGTTGGGCCTAGTCGAAGCATGACATATCTGGTGGCCAGCAACGGCTGATTTATTCGAATTGCAGGCTTTGCGGTGGATCCTTGACTCCATGCAATGGCCCTCTTGAGCGCAGGTGCTCCGACGTCTATGGCCTGTGCCTCCGCAAAGCTATTGTAAGCTTCTGAAAAGACAAAAAGCTTCCAACTGGCAATCATGCTACGGCCAATACAGGTACACGTCGAGGAGAAGCACCAGAATGAAAGGAATTCCAGGCAGCATGCTGCTGTTCGCGGTGCTGTCATAGACTAGAACAAAACACCACCAAGTTGCAATGCCTGCTGCCATGTCTGGAACGACCATGGCAAGAGCAGCCAGGAGACGGTTTCTCCGCAGCTTCATGCTGCTGCCCTTTTTCCACATCAACATGCTAATGCGCATTATGAACAACAGTGCGAGGCAGAGTTGTGCCCACTCCAGCAAAAGACGCAGGCTCCACACGAGGGACCCGAGCCCGGCAGGTGCCCGAGCCGGTCCTGCAAAAAGAGCTCAATTACAAGGCAGGGCTTCATGCCTGCGATTGCCAGTGAGCCATGGCCCATTGCTGCTTTCATGGTACACACGTATGTATATATGTATATATATACACACACATATTCATGTATATTCATATATGTATATATATATATATGTATGGGATTGTGTCATAATGCGGGGGGGGGGGGGGGGGGCGGGCGACAGGTGTTGGGATCAGGGTATGTTTCGCGGGTATGTTTGGGGGTCTGTTCTGGTATGTTTCGCGGCATCATGAGCTACTTTACCTGCAATTTCGGGGTATGTTACGGGGTATGTTTCGGAGGTGTGTTTCGGGGTATGTTTCGCAGGTGTGCAACCCGTGTGCCCTTCTTAAACCTGGGCCCCCCATAAAAACACAAACCCATATATGGATGACTTGCGCTTCACTTGTGTCGTAGCCAATCTTGAAACCTTTGCTGCCGCAGAGCCTTGTGCAATTCGAGCGATGACAGTTGACAGCCATGGCATGGTACCTTACCACGGCAAAATGCCCAACTTCGACAGGCAGTACCAGCTAGCCGGTACGGTAGCTTCCGAGTAGTTGGCCAACGTGCTGCAACTTGTCCAAGCCAATCTCTCAACAAACAGCCAAAGGAGAATGTCTCCAGTATGAAGCCTAGTATGGGTGACATGCTCGATGGGTTGCTGGAACAGATCACGTAGAGCACGTACGAGAGGGGCAGAGCATCGCCTCCAACCTCAACTCTCATGCACGCACTACTCCTGATCGCAAGCTAGTTCAACGCAGCTACTCGGCCGGATTTTGAATTCCAGGTTTGTGGCCGCGTTTGGAGCTTGGGGTTTGAAAAGGGCATCAGGGCGTTGGGGCTTCTACTGTAGTCTGAAAGTGCCCTGCGGAAACGAAACTGCCGCGCTTTCGCCTCAGTATTTCATCGTTTTTAACACCTGACTGCAGCCAGGGAACAGAACGTAGGATTTTGGGACCCAATTTGTTACGCACCAAGCGATTGAAGCGTCTGCAATACTCCTAGCAGGGCAGACTCAGCCGCGCGGGCAGCATTCCGGTGCAGTCGGCGCTGTCTACCCACGGCAACCTTCCCAGAAACCCTGGAAGCTAACAACATCACGGGCAACGAGTTTCCAAACCCTGCCCTCGCAAGAAGTGCATGGGGTGTGTCATGCCAACATCGATGCACGGCATCCCTCACTGCACTCCTCGCCGATGTCACCTGGCCGTCCGAACCACTGCTGCAGCGTCTGAGCCACCGTCACACGATCCTCGGAGGGTCTCTGGCCCGTTGGCTCGTGACAATTACTCTGAAAAAACATCATCTGCTGCACTGCTGAGAGCGTCCTCTGACTACACCTGCAAGGGCAGCAAAAAAGGGACGACTCTGGCACTAAAAGGCGTTAGCTCTCCAAAGCGCAAAGGTTCGCAAGGGATTTCTGCGCCAGTCTCCGGGTGCCGGTGCTGATTCGAGCAGCAAAAGCATTGAGCTTCCTGGACCCGAAAGTTGCAAATCTGCCGCGGCAACTCCTCGAGCTCCTGAATCTGCAAAGGTTCGTGTCAAAAACTCAATAATAATAATTAATTCTAATATCCTCTTGGCGTTTATATAAACAAAAGTTTAAAAAAAAAACCAAGGGGGATATGGGTCCTGTTCAATCCCTTCCCAAGGTCACTTATGATGGCAGGGTCCTGCATGAACTCAAAGCCAATGTAGTTCAGCAAAGGAAAGAACAGGATGACCGTGCTAGCGATCAGGCTCCTTGGCTTGTGCCAGGTCAAGTTGCAACTTGGCAGCCTACTCATGGGCTTAAAACCTTCCATGGCCTTCGCCAATGCAGCTCGGAAGCCCTGTCGTGATATGGCAATGGACACGACCGCCATCAAGGTCTAGTGACAGAAAGAAGAGGGCCGAGCCGATCGATCCGACTTGCGCCAGGAGGGTTAGCAAGACTCCCATTTTGAGCGGGATCAACTGGATACAGGCGTGCTTGTCCATGTCCTTCATGAAGGTTGCCAGCTCGTAACCTGGTCTGGTCGCAGTAGCTTCGTGTGCTATTGTAGTGTGCTTCCCAGTTGGGCATTAACCCTGCAGAAGGCTGGTAGCCTCATTCAACTTGCGCCTTCCCTTCTCAGTCGAATCTACACTCTGCTGTAGTATCCTCAACAGTTCCTGCACATGCAAACATGCCTAATGCTTCCTTCGAAACAACTTAGGCCAGGCAAGCAACTGCACCAAAGGCGGTGGAAGTATCGTCTCGACCAAAGAATTGTCAGCTCATCCGAGCAATTGAGGAAAGCTGCCAGACCCAATACGCCCTGCCCAGCAGATGTGGGTAAGTTGACGTTTGCAAGGTTGAACTGCCAAGCAACCTCGACCTCTCCTGTCTCCTAACTGTCGAAAAAGTGAGCACGAGCGCCATACTGGTACAGGTTTGAACTATGTGGTAGACCTGCTGCCGCGCCTTCTCTTTGAGGGCTTCATCATGCTGTGCAATACAGAGCTTGTCCAGAAACACAACCACCGGAAAGCCAGCTGCACTGCGAATCCGCTGCCAGCAGAGGATAAAGAGCCAGAATGTGGCACACGGAAGGAGAACAGTCCATGGTGCAATGGGAAGCACCTGAGTCAGGTCCGTGCATCCGGTCAGCAATGCCTTTTCTTGGATGACACAGGCTTGGAAGCAGATGCTCTGTCGTAAGACATTCGTTCGCTCTGGATTGCTGTGGTGCCAAGACGTACACAATGCAAAGACACTGCAGCGCACTGCAGCTACTGCAGCTGGGGTTCCCTGAAAGCGCACAGAAGTCCTGTCAGGATGCTGGCGATGGTAGTGGCGACTGAAGCAGCTCGCGCCTGGAAGCAGCATGAAGCAGCTTTGGAGAACGCTTTGCGGAGTGCGTTGGCAAGCGTTGGCGGGTGCAAAAGGTGTGTGCCAAATTGTGCCAAATGTGCCAACTCGTTTTTCGACACGTTAAAGATCCAGTTGGGGATCCATGGTATTGAGGATTCTCCCAGCGCCTGAACTGCTGGAAACCTTCCAGCAGCCGGGCTTTGCTGGTCTGCTCTAACACAACACGCTGGCCGCTGGCTAGCATACGTTACCAAACTGGCAAAAGCACAGAATGCCAGCCCTTCATGCGATCGAATACTATACTGAATTATGCTGATGCGGGTGGAGCTGCATTGAAAGCGATGAGCAGAGCGATCAGCTTCATCCAGCGGGAAGATGCCCAGTCGTGGCTAAGAAAGGCCTTGGGCATGACATGTCCGATGTCGGCTGTGGGGTTTAGGGTTTAGGGTTTAGGGTTTAGGGGTAACTAGTAGGTAGTATGGCATGCTCCTGATAGCAACTAATGATTACTAATGGTACCGGGGGAGGGGAGCGCTGCTCACTGGCCAAATTTGGCAAAGCTGCGTGAAATTTTGCTGCCTTCCGGCTGAGTGCGTAGTTCTTCGGGTCCACGTTGAACATGCCCGAATCTGGCGGCTGCAAATGTCGCCCCAGCCCTGCCAAAGCGACATCCAGCGAAATGCCGCGAAGGATCTCCGGGTCCACCTGTCACTGAGGGCTTACTCACTTTCACCATCTGCTTAGGCTTAGAACATGCTTAGGAATGTCTTCGAGTCTTAGAGGCTCCGAAACTCTCTCAAGAGAGAGCCTTTGAAGCGCTAGGAGAAACCAGACAACTCATGAACGCGTTGGGACACGTTGGGACTACGGCTGGCAAAGGGTGACTCAGTGAGAGGCTTTGAAAAGATGTGACAAGGTTGCACCTCCGTCAGAAGCTCCTTCGTTGAGATGGAGGCCGGGGATGACACCGCAGACATCTCTGAGCCCTCAGTCCTCAAAAGGCGGCAGGGATCGTAGAATATCGTAGATGCATGCCGATGCATGCTTGCCCTCCCCTCTCCTGCTTCGTACCCAGCTAGAGCTCATGCTGGACATGGACTGGATCTTGTCGACCGTCGACGAGCCATGGGAGTAGCCTCTAGGGCTTGGTGGCCCGAGTTCCGACTCCAGTCCTCACAACAGCAGCTTTGCAGGACTAGCACAAATGTAGCACAATATATGTGCAGTGATCTCTCTGCCCCATTTCTGCCCTGCATACGCGAAATCACTTCTCGCTTGCTTGCTTCTAGCGAGCACACTTTGCATGGCTCCTGTCGACGTGTCTACCGGATCCGCCAAGACCGCCATGATGGACAACGGTATTCTGGGCAGTCTCTCGGACCGGCTCTCTGTTTACAATCGGTGGAACTCGAACTGCTTGAGAAAGATTTGTCAGCAGCCTTACACGTAGCCATGTCAAACGGTGAAAATCGGTTGACTGAGTAGATATACATCCACCAACGGTGTAGCCTGAGAGCAAAGAGGCAGGTACCAGCATTTGCTCTGATGCAAAGCGAGTCCGACGGCCCTGCAAGCAAGAATGATGGCTGATGGTCTATTTCTTGTTCGGACCGATCACGAAGTGGGCTTGGCGACAACCTGCCGCCACCTACAATCGTATTGCGAATTCGATCGTTACTCCGATGTTGCATCAGATGCTGCAGACTTGAGAGAGGCGCTTGTCCATGCACCATACGAATCCATAGGATGTACGACAGATCTGGATGCTGCGAATGAGAAACTGAAGCGCCGCTCTGCCTCAGGCTGCAGGTCTTGTTCACATACACATATACACAGATGCCCGAGCCATGCCAAATCAGACATGTAGAAGAGGACCAAATTTCGACTTAAGTATCCTGCTGTTCCTAACCTGAGACGTTGCCACCATTGTGCATGAGTGTTCATGCGAGAGAACTGCAGTTCAGCGAGCGAGGCTACGAATTCCGGCTATCTATAGACTTTGATTTTGGCAAGGCTTGGCTGGAACTGGTCGGTGGCTGACATGCCCAAATGCAAGGTCTTTCAGGCTGAGACAGCAAGTGACTCGCTGACTCGCAAATTCATTAGGAAGCGTTCGGAAACATCCCAGCTGTCAAATGACTGAAAGACCTACATTACAGGTCAAGACCAGTGGATATCTACATGACCTCTTCATTGCAAAGGTGCCGGTTGCATGGGGCTAGTGCTGCCGACAAAGTATCTGGAAGCAGCGCAGAACTACAACCAGATGCAATGATGCAGTGGCTACTTACGGCCGTGTGAATGTGCAGCAACAACTGCTGGCCCAACAGTGGCCGATGGCAGCCCTAGCTCATGACTCCTGTGCGAGGACGCCAGCATGTCGTTCCTGGGATTCGGATCACCCTCACAAAAGCAGGCGGTGTTGCGATTCGATGTCTCGCCGCAGAGCAGGTCTGAAGCCAGCTTTCTGACATGCCAGCAGACAAATCCCAGGCCCGCAAAACTGGCTGGCAAACTCATGGCCCCGCAGTTCCAAGCTGATTTTGCTTCCAGGGGGGGGTGGGTGCTTACTGCGATGTTCTGTGTAGGCTGGCACGGTTCAATCAAGAGGCGTCTGTGGCAAATGCATGGAGCACTTGGCAACCGCGGGGCTGCAGTAATTCAGCATCACTCTTGCACGAAGAAGGGGGCAGACTCCACGTGGCCTCACAAAAACAAAAGGGAAAGAAGCTGAGATGCCCGTGCTTATAGTATTACAGTCAATGATGGTTCGCACATCATCCGCGCAGGCACCCTTGAGAAGACCAATTCGGTGCTCTTCACAAGGCAACTCGATCTCTGGCGAATCTCGCACACAGCGGGCACCTGGCGTAGACTCGGTAGACTCAGAGTCTTGGCAGCCCGCTGCATCCAGCATGCACTGCCTTAGCTGAGCGAATGTTGTGGCATGGGCCTGCAGCTTGCTGCTTCGCAGACATACTGCTTCACCACTCCAAACTGACCGATATAATCAACCCCCGAAGCTCTTCCAATTCTGCCTCTCGGTCCCAGAAGAAATTTCTATGTGCAATGTTGTGCAGCGAACGTGGCACAATCGCATCCCGGCCGTAGCGGACTGCCGTGCTGACCTTCACGGGAACTTGGCAACAGTCTGAAGAAGATACTTCTACTGTCCCACTATCTGTGCAAACTGGCTTCCACCCACGTCCCCGCCGGCATCGCACCGAAGACGTCCCGTCTGGCCAGGTTAGCGCCGAAGTCGCACAAAACTTTCACCACATCCTAAGCTTGGCCCGGCAGTGAACGACTTCTATGAGGCTTGAGAGGCTTGAGAGCATGTTCAGAGCTGCGTTCACTGTCCCGTGAAGTATACCCTGTGACTCCCTGGACTGCAGCTCGGAGGCAAGATTTCCTCTGGCAGCAGCCAGGTGCAATGGCGAGAGCCCCGGGTGGGCCAGAACGTTCCTTGATCCACATCTTAGCAGTCTTAGCACACATTCACTGGGAGTGAAGCAATGAAGCTATGCTACTGTATGCGTTTCTCATCATGCCTCCATTCTATGTTCACCAGGCAGCATCTCAACTTGCTGTTCGCACAGGAATCGCGCCACTTCCTCTCAGAGACACCACGGGCTCAGCTTTGGGATGCTCCAGGAGGTGAGTTTAAAGGTGAGTTTAAAGCCTCTCCGCCTCTGGTTCTACGAGAGCACGCATGCCGGAATCACTCTGTTCACTCTGCTCAGGGCACCTCCTGAGCACTCTTTCATGCGCATTTCAGATACTTCTGAACCGACATCCCAGGCAGGGCCTCCTGGTCGAAGAGTGCAGCCATGTGCAGAGGGCGGCTGCCCGAACCTTTTAAGGTGGGCCAGGTGGCGTGGACCCTTTCTTTGGGATGGCCAAGAGGAACTCTCTTTGCATCTCGGAGGAGTATGCTTTGCAAACGCTTGGGGTGCAATAATCATGTTGACAAGGGTAGAGACCTATCATGGAAGTAGGGGAGTACAGGCACGATCCACCCATTCTTCGTGCGGCCCTCGCAGCGGAGTACTTAATACGCTAAGTAGCTCCAGCTTGTCTCATGCTGGGTGCCAGGGTGCCAGGAGAGTTTAGCACTTGACGTAGCTGCTCGCAGTGCAGGGTCTTGCAATTCTCTTACCCAAGCCGCTGCTCACAGCTTCGAGGTCGGCGAAGAGCTCAACGAGCTTCATGCAAACAACCTGCCGAGCGCGTTGGGTCTGCAGACCCTTCTTTAACAAGGGCCATGACATGTGCAGAGATGTAAAAGCCTCAGACCTGCTTCCTAAGTCCTTGTTCTCGTGTTTCTAGCGATGCAAGCTCAATGCAGTACGGCAGATAGCTCCTTTACTTGGCACCTACTTCAGCATGTGGCCTGAGATGAACTAGAAACAGCAGAACACTGGAGCTGTCCTAAATTCTGCATGATGGAATCTGTAATGCAGGAGATGCAAAAATGACACCCAAAACACTTGTGCGCAAGTAAACTTGGGGCTCAACACGCATTCAAAACCATAGGGTATTGAAGAAGGGAGGCAACCTGCGCGCGACTGCATCCCCACAGGTCACCGGATCTCATTGGTTTGGCCTCATATCCGAAACGCGCAGCCAAATGAAGAGGAGTGAGTCTTTGGCGATCCCGGCTATCAATCGGCACTCCTGGCATGGGGGTCGGAGAACTTCACATGCCTGAGCTTCAGAAATCCTGCCCAACAGCACCTTCATGAGCCAGCCACTGAACAATGAGCAGATCGCCAGAGTAGGCAGCCACATGAAGTGGCGTCCTGCAGCACGAGCATGCAGGGACCCAAGCTTCCATTCATGTGGCTTGTTTTGAAACTGCTGCAGAAGCCCAGGACCCAGGAAATATTACATTCAGGGCCAACGACTCTAGAGCCTTGATACGAAAAGACATGAAAAAAAAACGCTTCTACGATCCGACACGTCTTGAGCAGCCTCTCACGGCCCGCCTGCCATTGTGGTTGGGTTCGGTAATACCTTACTGAGATCCAGGGTGCCCAGTGCACTCTGTGTGCTGACATGTCTAGGTATTCCCACGAAGAACCAAAAACAACCCACGGTGTCGATGCAGCAGCACTGGCACTTCAGACATATGTGTTGCTGGCCTTCAGTCTGCCTGTCAAGCCTTTCGAGTCACCTTCCACACTGCAGCAAGCCGCTGGCTCCAGCACCATAGAGTGTCTGCACCAGAGGCAGATGCCCTTCTTGGATGGCAACGTCAAGCAACCTCAACGATTGTGTCAAGGCGGCTCATCGACTCTGCCCAGAAGAAGGCCCTGCCCTCATTGCAGTCCGATCATGCATGTAGTTCGGCTAGTAGTTCCTTCCATATCACAAAATGTCAAAAACAATCTGAGCATTACAGAATGTACCTGCGCAGTCGCGTCCCCGTGCACATAAGCACCCAAACTGCTTAGCGTGCTGGAGAGCAGACCTTGTGCCGCTCTTGTCCATGGCCTGCCGCAAGACAAAATGCACGGATGAAATTGCCAGCGTCTCCCGAGTCTCCCCCACCCAACCCCCCCCCCATTTTTCGGACAGTTTCTCAAGTGCCCCGAGGTGTGCAGGCCTCCGGATTGGCACGGGCTTCGCACAGTGCCTTCAACGCGTCGAGGTGCCCTGGACGACACAAAAGAACTGATGTGGGAGGCGTTCGGATGCTCATAACTGCATGTCGAACTTCGTCTCTGCTTCACAACCTGATACCTTCGGAGGAAAGCTTCCAGGCCTCGCTGGCAGGCAGGAAAGGCTGGAGTCATTGCATAGGGGCCAGGAGCCTCAGCCACCAGCATTCATCTGCGTGTTCTTGCGTAGAGTCACATGAGCCCATTTCCCACGGATCCCTTCTTCAAAAAGGTCGCATCGCTCAGCACAAGCCCGTCCAGGAGACTGACCATGATGAACAAGACTATATGTATTGCCAGCGTATGCATGAGAATAAGGTTTCATTGTTCAAGACGTCGCATCACAGGCATGCATGTACAAACCGCCAATAACAACACATTCCCCACCTGATACACATGGCCACCAGAATCCAGGGACTAATTACTTGCAGACATTAGCTGAGTTCTTCTACAGCAGCATGCACACCAGAGCAACAGTGAAGTCCACATCTGCTCACAATCCGGATTTATGCCATTCAGTTTAGTATGCGCACGACCAACTTGACACATTGCAGCTGCAAGACGTTTGGATCGGCATCACTGTCACACAGGGTCCGGATGACCTGCGCTGGAGACATCGGAGATCAGAGCCAACTCCTGGCCCTCTGCAAAAACAAGATGCATTAGAAAAAGGAACGAATGGGAAGAACATGAAGGGAGTGGAGGCAGCAGCCGGAAGCATGAGGACTCGCGCACGCCTCAACATGGTTTTTCTGGCAGGCGATGTGGAGCGGCCGCCGCCCATCCTTTCAGGTGCGACGGAATAAGGAGTGCGTGCACTTCTTGACATTTCGGGGCTGATCTGTGAGCCCAGTTGGTACACCTATTATGTAAGGCAAGACACACAAACACAAACACGCACGCTGTGACTGGAGCAAACCCTATCAACCCATGTGATCCCTATAATCCCACATAAACCCCTGTAAACCCATATCATCCCAGAAAAATCCTCATACACCCTTACACTCTAGTGAAAGTGCCCTTGGCTGTGAGGCTCCAGGGTTTGGACCAGTGATCCCCCACAACCTTCAACCATACCATAGTGCATACATCAACTCCCGCCCCCCCCCCCCCCCCCCCCCAGGTTTGGCAAAGAGCCCGTATTCTCTTCACTTCTTTCTCGCGGGCCTCGGCCTCTGCATTGGGTACCGCTCGATCGGCCAGAAGGCACCTACTTCTACAACAAGGCAAGAGCTTAGGATGTACAAGGGTTTATTAGGGTCTTTAGCTTCTTTTAAGGGGCTCATGAGGACTTCGTCTGAGGGGCTTTGAAGTCCCGGCCTCACGACCGGCAAATGGCCACTCTGCGAAGCCAGATGCAGCGGCGTTGCTCCATTCTTCATGGGCTTCTCCTGTGCATGATTCTTGCTACAAGTCGCGTTCTTGATTTCTCTCTTCAGCTGGATCTCTCGGTTTGCCGAGTGCTGCCTAAGAGGTGGGCTTGAACAAAAACTGATGTTTGCCGAGTCAGGCGCCTTCGAAGCCCCGGCCGCAAGCAATTCGACAACCATATCGAGGTGGCCATGAAACCTATAGTCCAAGAGCTGACGACAAGAAAGGACTTTCGTGCACGTTGTTGCTCGACGTTGGGGGTCACCGTTGCTAGAGGGACAAGTGAGTTTTGGTGGTGTTGGCAATATTTATTTGGCTGTGGCTGCCAGAGGTCTTATAACGTGTGCAGGAGTCCTGAGCTGTCACGTTGCAACCTTTGTTGAAGTCTACGGTATCAGTTGATCTACAAATCTCGATGTCAGTTCTCGTTGCAGTCACGCAGCGATGCTGCCAGGAGAGCTGTGAGGCCGTCGCTCGGCCTAGAGAAATCCTTGAGCGCTCACCCGACGAGCTCGGACGCAATTTGGCTTAAAGTGGTTCATCATTGATACGGGACCCACGACATGAATGTGAGCCGGCAGAAAGCTGTCTGGTCGGACCCCTCTTCTTGCACAGGCTCTGGGGGTGCTGGACGACGCAATGCTTCGCGAAGTGATGACAGATTCCCGAACCTGTTGCGGACAATGCAGTTCTCGCTCGATGTGCCATCACTTTCGATTGGGCATGCAACCATGGCCTGGCACTATCGATCAAGCGTGTTCCAGCTTCAAGCTCGCAGGGTGTGCAAATCAGCCTTAGATGCTCACTGAATGCATTGAGGAACATGCAACAACCGTGGAATCTTGCGACCGTGACATCCCGCGGATACTTATTATGCAACTTGCTTGGCAATGACGAAGGATCTGCAAGATCTGCACGAGCCGGTATGGCAGAACAACTCCCAGAGACTCTTCCAGGCAACGACGGACGATGACCGACTACGTTGTGCCGAAGTCCACAGGAGAAGTAGATTGGCACCGTCCGAGTGCTTTTGACACTCTTGCACGGCATGGAACTCTATATTTGGATGCTGCAAGGGCGATGCGCCTACAAGTAGCGCCCAAAATGCTGCGACGTGGTCCTGCGACTAAGGCGCAGCAGTTCAAGCGAACCGATCCGCTCCACCGACTCCATGGATGCCTCATCCTCGAGAATCCTCTGTCCTGGCCGATACTTAAAGGCTTGAGCAAGTGTGGAGACGTTCTGACCATCTCCTAAAAAAGTCGTTGATGGCTAAGCCAAAGCCGTCGATCCTTTACTCAAGCGTTCAAGGCAGTCCTCCACGCCGTCCCAAGTAATGCCATCGAACGCTATCAATTCAGGGATTGCAGCTTCATGAGTTGGGTCATAAAGTCTTTCCTTTCGCCCATGCTATTTTTATTCGTCGTTGAAGCCTTGAAGCAGCCGCTGTGCGTAGGGCGGAGACCCGCAGGTCCGCGCCAGTCGTATCTTCAGCGCCTGATGCAGGATTCGCGTGCCAATTGTCAGCAAGTATCAGTTGAGATGAGCCCCGTCCTTATCAGCAGTGCATCTGCAAATCTGACATCATTGGCACATTATGAGACCAGGCACCCGCGTGGTGGTGGCACGCGGCACACGGAAGCTAGAGACGGCTCCGCCCAGAGTTCGCACCTTGAGGCTATGAGTGTATGATTGGGATATGGGTGACAATATTGCTCCATGTACTGGTGGCTTACGCGTGCTCAGGCGCCAGAATCGACCAGCTGACTAGCCTCATCTACAGCTCCTCTAGCCTCATCTAGCCTCCTCGGCCACGTGTCACACGGAGGCTGGGCTACCCCACATTCACCGTCACAGAGTCGTCTTCGGACTCCTCCTCGCCTCCCTCTGCCATGGCCGCAGCATGCCAATATGGCAACCTTTGGCCCAAAGCTTGCAGATAAGTACAGGATCCAGAGAGCCTGATGTCACTACTGTGCCCTCTTTGCTGTGTCCATCGATGATCTCCAAAAAGACACTCGCTGCCACAAGAAAGACTGACTTCTTGTCGATGTACAGCGCTCGGCGCTCGTCAATGCAACACCTCCGGCGTTGTCTTGTCACACCTGTATTAACTAGCTGCTTGAAGCGCCAAGTACGACTTCAACGGCAGCGAAGCAATTTGTAAGGGACTTCTTGGCAAGGCAGGGTTCAGTGTCGGTGAGTGCATTAGTGCGCCCTTTGCTCGAATCTGGGAAGTCAAGTTCCATCACTGCATATCCTGACGAGCCATGTCCCTTGCAAAACGACGGTCTGCCACTGTGACGACCACTTGCAAAATCAAACGTTGTGAAACTGCCGAGTGCATACATGTAACGAGCCACAACCCGAGACTGGTTTTCAGGTACCCTGCGTGCTAGAACGAGCCTACAAATTAGGAAGCTGTGCCACATAGCTTCATAACTGCCCATGTGCGTTGTTGAACATCTTCATCTCTCTCCACTCTTAATTAGGCTGGCAGCTCACAGCTTCTTCGCCTCATTCTTCTGGTCCTTGAGCCTGTCGTTGTATCTGGACAGCTCCTGAAGGAAGAGGTCCGCGAAAAGTACAGCAATACAACCTAATATCTCACTTGCCGCCTCCACTTTAGTTTCGTTACCCACGAGTTCTGTGAAGTCTGCAAAAGTATTCTAGCGCCGGAAGAATGCCAAGTCCGTGCGCTTTGAACCCGAACAAAATTTCTAAGGAGCATGAGGCTCGTGGGCTGCCCCCTTGGAGAACTTGTTTGGGGCCTTGTTTCGTCGCTTGGTGTTGAAAAGAATTTATACAAAACCCCGTTTCCAGAAATTTGGGGAAGTTTCAGGCTTGAAGCTTGTGTCCGGATTACTATACTCCCCTTCGAACCTTAATAAACAAAACATTGTTAATATCCTTTTGGGGTTTCATAAAAAATAAACAAATAATTCCCAAGGGGGATATAATATAGATTAAGGCAGCATCTCCAAAAGGCGAAGGTTGGAAGGCCTGGAGCCCTTCAGCTCAAAGGCCGCTGAGGCTTCAGGGCCTCAGGTCCCCCAGCCCTGAAAGGGGGGGGGGGGGGAGATACCACAGCATTAGGCAAATCCTTTCTTGAATCCACCAATCTCCATGACCGCGGCCCTCTTGGCACCTGCCTGAAACGCGGCATCTTCTCGACGAATCCACCTTGCTTGCGACGCTTGCTCTGTTTCGGTGGACTGCAAGCCCTAACCCCGCATCACGGAAGAAACCGGTAAGCACACTCCCCAAGTAGGAATTCCCGCATATTGTAGCCATTGTCTCCCTCTCACTTAAGCCCCTTTCTAGTTCCGAGTTGTGGATCCCTGGAAAAATCCTGGAAGCCCTGAGCAGAGGAGCTCAGGCTGATCGGGAACGCTCCAGGCAAGGTAAGCCTCCCAAACGGACAGCGAAAGAGGTTTGTGTCTGCTGTGGAAACTCAAAGGGAACACCACCACCGGCAATGAAAAGAGAGAACCTTCTCATGCTCAAGCAATCGCAAGAAGATGACAGAACATATATGTCAGCGTTGCAAGCAGCATTTGTCCCTTGCAGCGCTCGAGATCACTTTCTCTCACCTGGCTACTGATTTAAAAGCTTTGCTTGTGCAGGAAACATAGTCGCACAACGTGAAGTCAGAAAACGACTTGCTGCGACTTGCTTCTTGCCCGTGCAGTCCAGATGCTCGAAGCACCGCCAGTGACATTGTGAAAGGCCGACTACGTGTATGGCAGTACTGTACCGAAACTGCTGCTGGGCACAACAGCTGTATGTCCACAGTGAAAAGGAACTTCAGGAAACTCGAAACTGACACGTGGAAACATATCCCAACCACGCTTATCACACAGACAGCTTCATAACATCAGGACTCCTTTTCCCTTCCATCAACGTGGCCTCTTGGCCAAGGCTGCACACACACTTTCGTGTCTACCCGCGGCTTGCCCAGTTAGTACGGGTAACCTACACTTCAACATGGGAATAAATGGGAGCGGCTGGTTTAGCTTGGGAAAGCCGAAGACACAAGTGAAAGGCAGTTTGCTGCATCAGTGGCCTGGCAAAACATGCCGGAACTAACTTGAAAGAAAAAACAAAACATTTGTGTCAAACGCGTTGAACCTAAGTCTTGCCACTGAACATGTTTTGCAAGGCGCCCTTGCTGCGCAGCTTCTCTTCACGACGCCATAGGGGACAACGCGTCACCCTTTGCAGTGATCGGTATCTTGAAGGCTGATTGAGGGAGACAGACAAATCTGAGAAGCTGTGCAGGTGGACTTTATTGGTGAGTTATCCGGTCAATGTGTCTCTTGAAGAAGCATGCATTGGCCACGTGCACCTGGTCAGGCAGAACAACCTACCCCTACCTTTTCGAAGGCCTTTTCATTTTGACATCAAGCAAGTGAGCCCGCCTGACATTCCGAGGTGCCTTGCTTCCAGGTCCAACTGAGACCCGTCAAAATCCTTGTCAGGACATTATGGCTTTGAATCAACTGAAGCCCCAAGTTGTCTCACAAAAGTGTCAAAGCCGTCACGGCACCAAACAAGAAATCAAATCAACTGAAGTTCATGCTTTGTCAGTTTCAGCCATCGACATCAACGGATCTTCACTCAAGAGCCGTGCGCTGTAGGGACCTGGCTTGCCGAGCTTGCGCAGGACCTAGGAGCATATGATATCAAATTCATCACAATATCAAAAGGCTGCTGGCTTCTCAAGGCTTGTGTGCTCGTCCATGGAAACTGCTCGGCTTCTCTGAGTGTAACATGGCTTCCCGTCCCATCAGCACAACTTGCAGACTGTCACACTGTCACCTTTCACTTCTGATTGCGAGTGCCCCGCGCGGTTCTCCACAGTCTTACGAGCGGCGTCAGGCATGCCTTCGCGAGGATCCACGCCATGGATGCACGAGGACCAGGATGCGAGGATATGCGAGGTACATCAAGCTCTCAGGACTTCAATCGCGCACGCAGGGGCATGTCGTGGCCACGATACGAGTAGCACGCAGAGTTTCCCTAAGGCGGCAAGCAGCCTCCCAGACAGCTATACTGCGCTGCAAGATGCTGCAAGCGGCTCTCTTGGCAAAACCTGGAGCTACTGTAGATTCATCATTTGTTCGCCATGGGCAACGGAATCGAACAACCACACTGTGCCCCACAGGCGGCCTGGAAACCAGTCACGGAAATTCAGAGAAATCGCCCGGCCAGCCTGGCGAGTCGCAGCGACTAACTCCAGGAATAGGGACGTCTTCTGGGAAGCAGAAAGGGAACAGCAAAGGAAGGGAAGGTTCATGGGAATCACGTGCAAACATGTGCGAATATAAGTCGGATTGCCTTGTGGAACTTTTTTGCAGCCAAGCAAAAGCAACTTTGATATTGGAAGTGGCAGCTGCGTGCCACGTCCCCAGACCCTGAGTACCTACAATGCGAGTGAAACGTTTAAAAGCGGCCGGCAGACATTGCCACAGGTGGCCAGTCTTTCTATATTCAGAAAAGAACTTGCATGGACAAGCCAGCGTAGCTGCGCAGCGAGCTATGCCAAGAGGATGTCAAACACGTTTCTTCTCACGTCTCCCCAGGCCACCTTCTCCTCAATGTGTCTCCATGTGCGCGCAACCTCAGGTTGGGTTCATGACCGGATCGCGGCCGATGCGAAGGTTGCCTAACCTCCACAGATGCCATACTCAGCATTCTTGTAGCCATCCCACTTCTTAACTTGCCAGGCCCTCCCCACTGCAGCGAATTTTCAAGAAGCACTCACCAATGAGAAAGCTCCGAGCCGCCGTCTGGTGCCCGAATGCCTTGACGGCATCTGCGAAGCCCTTCTCGCCACAAATGGCAGCATCGGGCACGCATGGCCGCCCACTGAAGTAAGCTTCATCGGGCATCCTAAGCTCCCCACCCCCCCCCCCCCCCCCCCCCCCCCCCCCGCAACTCACTTTCAGACACGCCCTCTCTCTCTCTCTCTCTCTCTCTCGGTCTCTCCACACGCTATGCGGCTATGCCCACCCCCGAGGACGAGCTGCCCCGTAGGGCGCGCGAATCACATGTCTAACGTGTGTGTTCTATCTCTCTACTCCTCGCTGCAGTTCCACTCTTGGCAATCTTTTTCTACGTATAGATGTAGAGCATCGAGCGAAATCCCGTAGAGCTGTAGAATGGCCAACGTCTTTATCTCTTCGTCTGCGTGTCTGAACGCGCAACAACCACTGTCACTTTGCCCCGTTTGATGTCGCCAAGGGTCCAGTAGGCGCTGGGTGGCGGCTCTGGGTGCTGACACACCTAGGGTTCAGGGTTTAGGGTTTAGGGTTTAGGGTTCAGGGTTCAGGGTTTAGGGTTAAGGGTTGCTTGGCTTGCTTTCCAGCAGCTTGCATTACCTCAAACTCATGCCGGTCAAGTTCGCCCAGGAAATCCAAGGAACGTTTAAGCATGCCCGGCAGGCTTCGCCAGGAATCACGTAACACTGGTTTCCAGGATTCTCCGTGAAATCGGCGTAGATGTAGTAGTCCAATGCTAGCGGGCCTAGCAAACGCATCAAGGCGAGATTCATGGCCGGCACAGCACAGTATGGTTTCGGCACTCACGCCCTTTTTCCTCAAAACACATCTTGACACACCATATCACACCATGCCACCTCATGCTCAAAACAGCAAGAACAGACATTGAAATAAGCGAAATCCCCAAGGTCCATGCAGGCCTCCCCAGGATCCCCATGTTGGTGCGGCAAGGGCTTGGCCAAGCCACACCGCCAAAAAACCAAGCCTCAGACGTGTCTCCCTGACTTTAAGACCCCCCCGCCCGTACGCGGACTCGTACAGAGACACGTTAAGGGTTTAGGGTTGAGGATTTAGGGCTGAAGCTCCGATACTTAGCGGGGCAGCAGCTCGCGTCAGTGTGATAGCATCTGACAACACTGGCAGACCGATGTGACTGTGATCACTACTTGAGTACCGAGCTTGACCTGAGCTGCTTTGGCCTTCATCCACACCAAAGGCGTTACACCCGTATCTGTGGAGTCAAACGAGTCTGTAGCTTAAGGGTTCAGTGGATGGCTTCTGACTTAGTTAAGAGACAGTTCACCAGGGTACCAGTCTCACTTCGACAGCACCTTGCGGACGGTTTGAACGGAGTACATCTGAGGACGTTACACGTCTCCGGCAGAATTTTGGCTTTGGGGCGACTGTGCGTTGTGTCCTGGTCCCATGCAGAGCTGCGACCCGTCTTTGTCAGCATTGAGATACGTTAAAAGCCTTAAAGTCAGAAGAAGATACGTTGCAACTGTAATCTCTGATTTTGAAGACTGCATAGCCCAATCCGATCCTTTTTTCCTGACGTCCTTCAAAATATCCCCTTTGTGTGTATGTCCACGTGGCTGTGAGTCACCCCACCATAGTCCAGCCAACCATGGTCCGGCCCCAATGGATTTCACCAGGGCCCGAAGGGCTCCGTGAATGCGCTCCTTGTGTCAGAAAGCGGTAGAAGGGTAACATCATGCAGCTTGGAAGCAACTAGTGAGTAGGAGAACTCATGAGCCTGCATGCCATCGCATAGAGCACGTTCGCGGTCATTGACTGCACTGATGTTCTTTGATGTTAGACGTTCACCATCCTAAAGTCCGGTTGTCTTACCCTGACTCAAGGTTAGGCTTTTCTGTATGGCCTACTGCACATCACGGCAAGCCGCATCGTATGAAGTCAGCGCCAAGGACCGATACCATGCGCGCACCTGTTTCAGGCTTCAAGTTCCAACCCTAGATTTGGAGCAATTCAGTGCATTCCGCAACCATGGACGCGAGACCTACAGTCGCCAACGCCCTTCCGACAGTCACTAGTACAACAATACGCGGATATGGATGAAAACTCCCATGCACCGACATCACCTATTGTACATCAGAACCCTTCGTGGCGGCTGCCGACCTCGGGTCAGGAAGAAGCACGAGGCAATGAAACGGTTAAGAGACGTTAATTATCAATTAACGGGCAGTTTCGATGAGGAGTTAGGCAGCTTGTTTCAAAAAACCGTGGCAGCTAGATGCGCCTGCTTCTCGAACGAGAATTTGCCAGTGCCCATCTCCCTTTGCGCGTGCAATCGGTTCAAACGAGCCAGCTTGAGATTCTGGCTTGTCTCCTTGAAGAAGCCTTGACTCTCACTCATGAAGACGACGAAAGGTCTTGATGAGCTGATCTCAAAGAGGTGATCGGCTACGCGGACGTCGACGAGGTCGCGTTTCAGGGGCACATCTGCCAAGACCAATGGTGAGTCAAATCGAGCCGTGCCGTCCAAATTCTTAAAGAAGTTCCGCGCTCCCAGGAACCATGCAGGCTGGCGTAGCTGGGGGAAGGGCTCACTCTGTGAAAGGAAGTATGCCAGGACTGTGACTTCGGGGAAGTAGACCGACAAGCGC